CACACATATATACAGACAGACAGACACACACACACACACAACATACATACACACATACACACACACACAAGACATCCATACACACAAACAAACACACACAAAATATTTTAGTCACCCTCCTGTTTCCTACCTTTTAGGTGCAGGAGGGTGACTTCCCCTGGGGTCCAGTGGTGGCTCAGGTGGATGGGAGTCAGAGTTCCTACTCTGACTCCCTGGTCTTCCTCCCGCGCGGCTCTCAGTGTTAGCTGGGAGGAGTGACGTGCAGTCACTTCCTCCCGGCTTGTGATGTAATCACAGGGGGCCCGGTCGCGCTGTTAAAGTGCCCATCGCTGACCGGGCCCCCTTACAATCCATATCCATCGGGTGGCCCTGACAGCATGGGCCACCTGATGGACTCCTTGGACGGCGGCCCCGGCGACCGGGTACCGCCGGCTCGCACCCGCCCTCCTGCCCACCCAATCTCTGAAATTGAGGAAATCCCTACCGCCCACCTGGAATCCTGAAACGCCCACTAGTGGGCGGTAGGGACCAGGTTGATGACCCATGATCTAGGCGATCTCCTCATTCTGGCTCAAGCGACCAACTTCTCTACACACACAACTGGCATGAACTTTGACGTTACTACAAAATCTGGGTTTTCTTATCAATTGGGAAAAATTTTCCAACCTATAGAATTCCTGGATCTAGTAGTCAATTCAACTATCCAGACTCTCCATCTGCCAACATCAAAGCTTCAGAATATCAATAATGGCTATTCCCCAGCTCTCCCACAAGCATTAAGTACGAGTCATCAAACTCCTAGCAGCTTCCATTTAAGCCATATTCCTGGGTCCTCTTCATTACCAAGCACTTCAACAACGGCAAGCCTCTTAACTCAGAGGCGGAGCATTATATGAACACATGGTGGCACTAGACAAAGAAGCAAAAGACGAACTTCATTGGTGGCTTTTCCACTAGGAAGCTTGGAATGGATGCGCTATACTCGGATCAACCCCAGACCTGATCATAGAATCGGATGCAAGCTTACACACTTGGGGTGCTCGTTGTGGAACTACCTTCACAGGAGGCAGATGGTCAGATCTAGAATCAACACTACATATCAATTGCCTATAACTTCTGTCCGGATACTTTGCAGTACGCAGTCTATCTCCAACTCGTTCCCAATGCATGATTCTGCTGAAGATGGACAATGGTTCAGCGGTCAGATATATCAACCACCTGGGAGGTACGAAGTCCAAAGTTCTGGTGAACATGGCATGTGATTTTTGACAACAACAATTTGACCCTACCGGCTCTTTATCAAGCTTGATAAAGACCCGGTAGGGTCGAAACGTTGCTGCATTTGCCCCAATAAAGCTGCTATTTTTGTTTTCCCAGAGTGCCTGAGCTGTTATTTACTATGCATATCTTGGAAGGGAGGCCTGGCCAGCCTTGGCTTTAAAGCACCTGGGTTATTTGGTGAGTGGAGTGCAGTATCCAATACATCTCTAATGGAATCCCTTATCGATTCCTTTAACATCCATTCTGCATTTCTTGACTCCTCTTTTCGAGGCAGGGAAAGCGTATCGCATGGTCAACCTTTACTGCTTTGTGCTTTCCGCTGGAAATCCCCAAATCCCTAGTCACCCCCCTCCCCCAAAAAACTTACCCCTACCTAACCCCCTCACCCTAATAATAATGAGAGGGGGGGCATTAACGAAGTACCTGTAAAAAAATAAAACTTACCATTTGATGTTTTCTTTCTTCTAAAACTTCTTTTTTCAGCCCCAAAACAGGCCAAATAAAAATCCATAATAACCGACGCACTTAAAAAACAAACAAAAAAAGAGCGAAAAAAAAAAATCCATCTTCATTATTTTTAGGGTCAGGGGGGTAGGTAGGGGTTAGTTTTTTTTTGGGAGGGGGGTGACTAGGGGTTTGGGGACCCCTAGTCACCTGGGGGGTAAATTTTTATTTAGGGCCTCCACCCGCCGCTCGGGGGGGGCCAGGGGGGAGGACATTAGGTCCCCCCTATTAGTATTTAGGGCCCCCACCCACCGCTCAGGGGTGGGACCAGCGGGGAGGACATTAGGGCCCCCCCTTATAAGTATTTAGGGCCCCCACCCATCGCTCAGGGGTGAGGACAATAGGTCCCCACCCATTATTTTACTTTAGGGCCCCCACCCACCGCTCAGGGGTGGGGGCCAGGACATTAGGTCCCCCCCCTTATGATAATTTAGGGCCCCACACCCACCGCCCAGGGGTGGGGGCCAGGGGGGAGGACAATAGGACCTCCCCTTATTCTGATTTAGGGCCCCCACCCGCCGCTCAGTTAAACACTTGGGCATGCGAACGGGAATTTCATTCATTTATTTGTCAGAAAGACGAATGAATAGAAATGTCAGACGAACAAACACCGAATATAGGTGTTCGTTTCTTCCTTCAGTTTATTACAAGAAGGGAGCTACAGGCACGCAGCTCCCGCCTTGTAAAATTTTAAAATAGAAGCGGCAGGGAGCAGTGCTCCCCGCCACTTCCTAAGCCCCCCCCATGTCCTTCCTCACTCTAATAGAATAAGGGAGATTGAAATGTCTGTGGCTGCTCACTGTTGTAAAAATAAAAATAAAAAGTGGGGGGGGGGGCTTTTTTCCTCCCCCCCCCCGGCTCCCACCCCTGAGCGGCGGGTGTGGGCCCTAAATAGCAATGGGGGGAACCTACGGTCCTCCCCTCTGGCCCCCACCCCTGAGTGGCAGGTGGGGGCCCTAAATAAGTATGGGGGTGACCTATTGAACCCCCCCTGGCCCAACCCCTGAGGGGCGGGTGGGGGCCCTAAATAGCAATGAGGGGTTGGGACCTATTGTCCTCCCCCCCCCGGCTCCAACCCCTGAGCGGCATGTGGGGGCTCTAAATTAAAATGTCCTCCCCCAAGGTGACTAGGGGTCCCCAAGCCCCTAGTAACCCCCCACACCCAAAACAAAAATGTTTAAACCCCTACCTACCCAGTTCACCCAAAAATTAGTGAGGGGGGGGAATAAAAGAACTAAGTGCCTGTAAAAAATTACCATTTTATGTCTTCTTTTTTCTAAAACCTTTTTTTTTTCAAGCCCCAAAACAGGCCAAATAAGCGTGGGCATGGTGCAGACTGAGCTCTGCAGGGCGGGGAAAGGCTTATAAAGCCTTCCCACGCCCTGCAATTTGACTCAGAACACTCTGATTGGTTGGCTTGGAATTCAACCAATCAGAGTGCTAATCATTTTACACAGTGTGGGAAGGTTCTTTGGAATTTTCCCACGCTGTGTAAAATGACACAGAGCACTCTGGTGGATTTATTTTATTCCCCCCTCACTATTTTTAGGGTGAGGGGTGTAGGTAGGGGTTAAATCATTTTTGTTTTGGGTGGGGGGGGTGACTAGGGGCTTGGGGACCCCTAGTCACTTTGGGCGGGAAGGAAACAGTTTTATTTAGGGCCCCACTTGCCGCTAAGTGACAGGACGTTTCCGGAAAAGTGAAAGGGACACTATAGTCACCTGAAGAACCACAGCTTAATGTATTTGTTCAGGTGAGATCTATAGCTCCCTGCAGGCAATGTAATGTAAACACTGTATTTTCAGAGAAAATCCAGTGTTTACATTGATTGATAGGAATACCTCCAGTGGCCGTCACTCACACGGCCACCAGAGGGACTTCCTATCATGTAGGGCCCTAAAAAGGCCTTGTACACATCAGACGAATTAAGATACGTCTGACATGTGCAGGAGAGAGAAGGCACTGTGTGCGTGCCTTCTCTCTCCTGCCTGTCAGCAGAAGAGAGGGGGCGGGCAAAGACCGTGCGCATGCACGGTAGTGCGCTCAGGACTTCAGAAGGCAGCATGAATGCCACCATATGAAGTATGCGCGCATGTGCGGCAAAGATGCGCATGCGCCAAGGGAGCAATGACGCTTCCAAATGGAAGCGTCTGATTGCTCCCTGCTCGCAACCGCCTATTTCGTCATTTTGACAAAATAGGGGGCGCGGTTTCACAAGGCTCCCGGCGCTGGAACCAGGTGAGTAAACTACTCTGCCTGGAGGGTCCATTTAAAGGAAGCATCACGGGAACACGGAGGAAAGGTAAGAATTGTGGGAAAATATCTCTGACCACCGGAAATGAAGCACACTTTGCTCCTCCGCTGGTCAGAGATGGTCAGGCGTAGGAAACCTCCATAAGACAAGTGGTCTCTACTTTCTTATGTTTTAAAGAAAACTAGAGCAGACAGGAAGAAATGAAGAGCAGATCCTGAGAGAGGGAGAGAAGAGGAAGCGATTTAAAGAAAGGTAAGTTCGGCATGACATTTCCAGCTTTAACTCGGCTGTATGTGAATAGCCAGATTATCGCGCATTGAACTTCAATTTGTGTGACTTTAACAGCTGACCAAGCGGTAGCGCAAATAAGACGCCAAGTTCACCATCTGCTACTGTCCAGTAAGGGCTTGTTATATATATATATTAAATGAGCTATGGTGCTGGCAGGTCCCAGCCATGGTGCTCTGCCTGCTCTCACACAGCGCTCTATTCACTACCAGCTCTATCTCCGCATGGTGAATCAGCACTTGTCAGCGATCTGCCCTCTATCTGCAGCGGCCAGCCCCGTCCCTCCAGAACTCACACTGTATAATGCGCATACAGCACTCTATGACCCAACATCATTACGGTAAATATTCCAACGGAAAATTAAATTAGAAAAAAAAAAAATCAGCCCTGAAATGGACGGGTTTCTGGGAAATGTAGTCTTCACACCAAGGCGTTTCCTTCCATAGGCATCGGTACCGCAAGCCTAGGAAAACTACAACCCCCTTTGTGGATTGCGCGCCACGCCGCGGCCGGAGCGAAGCACTGCACCGCCCATAAGCACCGCCCAGAGAGCTGCCGAGCGCCTCTCACGAGCAGCAGAGCCGCCGCCTGCCCTTTTAGGGACGCTGACGTCACCGCAGGGGCAACGGCCGTATGTAATGGTGGTGACGTCAGTGGGCGGGCTCAGAGGCGGGTCGCGGGCGAGGTGGGCGTTGTCTCAGGCGGCACGCGCAGACAGCGGGGAGTCACCGGGCAGTCGAGCGACCGTTATTCGCCAGCTGTAGACAGAGCGAGCAGGGCGGGAGACACTCACACAGAGCTGAGACTAGCACGGCGCACACACTCGGTCCGGCCACTCTGGTCTCCGCTCGCCCTCAGCCGCCGCGTGAGAGTCCGTTATCAGCCGCACGCAGCACACCTCACACCGCCCGGAGAACCGCAGCAACATGGTGGACCGCGAGCAGCTCGTGCAGAAAGCCCGACTGGCCGAGCAAGCCGAGAGATATGACGACATGGCGGCCGCTATGAAAGCTGTAAGTCCCGGTCCGGGGGAGGAAGGGAGGGAGGGCAGGGTCCGACTGTCAGACCCCGGACTGTAACCGCTGGCACCGTGTGTGAATCGTACTGTGTCAGCGGCCGACTCGGGCTACATGTCCTGCATGGAGCATGGCTCCCCCACAGCCAGCACTGACTGACTGACACCCCCGGTACCGACCGCCATGGGCTCCGTACAGTGCGATCTACACGGTGCGGACACACTGTCTGCCTCCAGTGCAGCCCTTGCTAACACTGCACTGATTCATCTTACTGTATGATAGTCCTACACTGAGTAGAGCACGTTTGAGACAAATGTGGAGACCTACCTTTTTCTGTAATAATGCAATTTATATATATAGATATGATTTCCCGTGTGTATGTGTACATGTTAATTTCTATCCAGTATACCTACAGTAGTTTTTCCGTCCGCCCTATGCAGAGCTTTTTATTCGGAGTGGTTATGGGAGGTCCCGTTAGGTAGGTGTGTAGGCCCCTTGTAGGACCCAGTGTGAGCAGATGGGGTGAGCTCAAATAAAGATATTTACCCTGTGAAAGCCTCTGCCGGATCTTTTTGCAACCCTGGCCGTGATAGGAGGGCAGATACATTCACTTATCACAGAACTAGCTGAACACCTGAATCGTTCTATCCTAGGATGCTTCCTGCTGGTGTGGGCTCTACTAGTCATTTAATTGACACATTATGAACCTTACTTTAAATATTGCAACGTACCTGTATCATATGATTTCAAAATGAATACAAGTGGATTTGCCTATTATGTTATGCAGCCAGCCAAGATCAGATATGTCTCCCTGCATGTGTGACAAGCGGAATTGATAAACATTTCACAGAAATTACGTTTGTCATCTATTCTCTAATTGTAGATTTCCCACCCACCCCAATTTGTTTCCTTGGATCGGATACATGCAGACACTACCCGTGAAAGCGTCTTTAATTGTGTGTAACCATTTTTTTTCCAACCAACCTCAACTTTTCATATCATGTAACCTAAATATGATTTAAAATGTATTGTGTATGGGGGCTTTTAGAAGGAAAAATAGCCTACGATCCTGTAGACAAAGCAATGGTGGGAGGCAGTACCAACCCTTCCAGAAGATTCTGCATTTGTCATATTGCAGAGAAGAGGCTGGTCTGGATTGAGAAGGGAGGGGAAATCAGAAAAAGGCAATTTTTTTATATATATATAGATTGATACAAAAACACTTTTTTTTTTTTTTTCTTTTTTTTTTTTAAATCCATGGTTTGTGCAGATGAAAACTGAATGAATGTCCCATCACTCTCTCAGTATTGGTAACACACACCTGTATGCACCGTTTTGGCAACTGTTCTGTTAACTGTCATGACATCTGTGAGATGCTGATTGCAGAATGTTCTGTGAAATTTTTTTTATTTTTTTTTTTTTAATCTTTACTAAACTGTTTTAGCTAATATTTTTTTTTTTTTTTCTGGGCAGTCCTTGTATAATTTGTTTAAGTTCTTCTCAATTATGAAATATTTAATGCAATATTGTTTTTTTGTGGAGTATAAAGCAGCCTCTTAAAAAAAATAAAAAAAATAAAAATAAAAAAATATATATATATATTTTTTTTTCTCTAAAACCAGCATTCTTTATGCATTATGCAGTGCTACATTTGCTTAAGTTTGAGAATATAGACAATACATATTTTATGATTTGAGAAGTTTAACTTGAACAATATCTGTCACATTCATACTTTTTTTATTTATTTTTTATTTAATGAAACCTTGTTTTCTTGCACTTTATTTGTACATAAGGTTATTTTTGATTGTCTAGTACACCTAACAAATGTACACTCATTTTCAAAAAGTGTTCAGGGTTGGTATTGGACATATTGTAAGCTTTGGGAGTAGGCACACACTGAATGCTGTGTGAGACTTTGTCCTTTTCTGCCCTCACCCAGTTCAGATGGAGATGCTACCTCACTTGTTTCCATAGCAACCCATGATGTCAGATGGAGACTAAATCTGCATTGCACCCATGTGGTTGATACAGGCAGCATGCATGGCAACTATCCAAGATAATGCAGAGATGAATGCCTTTTCATTTTTAGATTTCACCTATTAAAAACTTGACCTTATGTTAAACTTTTTTTAAATGCAACTAATATAGAAAAACATCTTTGTCAACAGGGGCATGTATATCTGTCCTGAATTGTTCCCTGCAATGCTTAATACTTTAAAAGTATTTTTCATTTAATTTTTGTGAAATATCCAGTTTTTTAGATAAAACTGGTGCTTTTGGAGTTGAAAATTATTCTGTACATTTCTTGTAACTCTAATTCTAGCAGCAGAATATGGCTTGCACATGTTTTTTTTTTTTTTTTGTAAGTACAGTAGTACAAATTTAAATTCTGAGCCTGATTGCAAGTTAGACCTATAATACAATTTTGGTGGTAACTTTATTGCAGATTTTTATTCTGCAGCTAGGTTTTTCACTCTAGTACTTGAGATCATATAGATATATAGATTTTTTTTTTTTTTTAAATTTAGGAAATGCTCAACATCAGAGACTTGTTTTGAGACTTCAACCTACATTTGTTTTCAACTGTCTACTTCAAGGCCATCACAACCATATTTCTTCGCATTCCTGTAGAATAGAATTAGTGTATGTATGTACATACACAACCTAATCCTGTTCTATTGGAATGTGAACAATTATGGGTGTAATGGCTTTGTAGTAGACTGAAGCCAGATTGACACATCTGATTTCCTAAAGTCTTTCAAATAAAACAAACCTATATTAATAAACTGCGGCGATCGCAGTGGGGGGGACTTAACTGCTATGCCAGGCAGTCCCCTGCTGCCGTTCCGGCCTTTCAGGGCCATGTGATCACGAGGTCCTTGCGAGGACCTCACGATCACATGGATGGCATAGCAGTCTACAGCATTGCCAGCAGGGGGAGTGCCTGGAATGACAGGTACTCCCCCTGCTGCCTGTAAAAAAATTAAAGTTTAAAATAAAACTATATATACTTGGATCATATATACACACTAAGTGTATTTTAATATTAATATATTATATTAATATCAAAATGCACGTAGAATATACACAGTACATGCTCTGGTCACATTATGTACTTAAAAGTGGTGTATGCCTGTATTCAGGCATACCCCACTTTACATACACTCACGAGTACAGACAAATGGAAAGTTCTATTCTCGCCTGGAGCAGCTCAGTAAAGCGTCTTTGGGGCAAGAACTTTTCATGCCTTCTGACATGGCACAGGTTAATAATCTTAAATTTGTCTACTCCTAGCTGAACATATATATTTTCTGCCCCATACATTGTCCATATTCTGCAATCAGCGCTATCCAGTGAAAGGGTTTACCCTGCAATTTTCTATGACTTAGCAGCTTAGCAACAATTCTGAGGATTCAAAGTTAAACCATAAATGCTTAAAGTGATGAAGAGGTGTTTCTAAACAAAGTGTGAAACTAAGCTGCTAACAAATACAAATTGGCACTCACTGTATTGACAGAAAATGGCCCAGTGGGCAGGTTTATTTAACTTTTCCTCCCAGTTGTCAGATGAGTAAAAGATAAATGGTACTATCTGGAATGAGAATTTTTTTTTTTTTTTTTTTATGGTTTGTTTTTACTGAATAAAAGCACACTTGAAATCTGCAGTTGCAGTATCAGTTATGCCTGTAAATTACTATTGCAATGCAGTACATGCATTGGGAAGTGAAAAAAGGTATTGCTTCACTGTGTAAGTACATTTTCGTTTTACATTCATGCTCTGGTCCCATTGTGTACTTAAAAGTGGGCTATGCCTGTGTGTAAATTGAAAATGTACTTAAAGTGAAGCAATACCTTATTTTTTATTTTTCACTTCCCTATGCATGTACTACATTGCAATAGTAATTTACAGGCATAACTGATACTGCAATGTAAAGATTAAATCAATACAAAATAACAGGGCACCACAATCACCAATATATAAAACGGATTGCATTTTTGTGTTAATATCCATCTATATATTTTTTAGCTATCTTAATAAATTGTAATTTTTTACTTTTTTGTCTTTCCGTTTTACTCTGAGACAAGCTGGTGTATAATATATATATATAGATGGATATTAACACAAAAATGCAATCTGTAATAGAAAGCCTGGATAAGCTCTGTACCCTTCTGGCTAGCAGCTTATGTATCACAATATAAAGTGCACATCTGCAAGTGCAAAAAAAAAAACTGTTTAAGTAAAGGGAAGTATAAAGTGCTAAAGGTGGCTTATAAAAGTCACTTACCTCAACAGTCATTTCACAACATACAAAATTCACAGCTTGGAATAAAGTGCAAGATAATAAATTGCACAAAACTAGTAAGTAAGGGTGGAAAAGGAGCTCAAAGCCACTGACGCCAACTATCCCCTCACAGCACACAGAACCTCCTGAGGAAGTCGGATGATCGACGAAACGCGTTGAGCCCTGCTTTGAAGAACCCTAAATTTGGTATAAGCAGTCTTTGCACTTATTCTGAAGATCTGTGCACTTTATCATTCTGCACTTTATCCCATACTGTGTGGGGATAGTTGGTGTCAGTGGCTTTGCATATAGTTTATGCAGTTTATTATCTTGCACTTTGTTCCCAGCTGTGAATTTTGTATATTGTGAAGGGATAGTTCATGTCAGTGGCTTTTGTAAACCACCTTTAGCACTTTATACTTCCCTTTACTTAAACAGCTCTTTTTTGCCTTTGCAGATGTGCACTTGATATTGATATATATGCTGCTATCCAGGCTTTCTATAATTGATTGCATTATTGCATTTTTGTGTTAATAGCCATCTATATATTTTTAATCATTTTAACTAACTTTTTTTTTTTCTCTTTTGTCTTTGTTTCCTCTTTGTTCTGAGACAAGCTGGTATAAGTGACTGGCGTCCTGTTATTTTGTATCGATTTTTATCTTGACTTTGTGGTGTTTATGTAAGCACAAGGTTAGGAGTGACATTTGGATAGAGGCTTGCCTGCACTTAACTATCATCACTCACTCCACCCATCCAATTTTAGTTGTTTTTTATAACTGATATTGCAACTGCAGATTCCTAGTGATTTATTTAGTGATTTCCAGTAGGCTTTTATTCAATTAAAACAAACAGAAAAAAGTCATTCCAGATTGTATCATTTATCTTTGTTTCTCATCTGACAACCTTTAAACTAGAAGGAAAAGTAAAATAAACCTGCCTACTGTGCCATTTTCTGCCAATATATTGCCAATTTGTATTTGTTAGCGGGTTAGTTGCACACTTTGTTTAGAAACACCTCATCACTTTAAGCATTTATGGTATAACTTTGAATCTTCAGAATTGTGGCTAATGCTGCTAAGTCATAGCTATAGAAAATGGCAGGGTAAAATCTTTAACTGGATGGCATTTATAAATTCGAGATTAACCTGTGTGATGTCAGAAGGTGTGAAAAGTTCTTCCCCCAATGACGCTGAGCTGAGTTGCTCCAGGCGAGAATAGAACCTTCTATTTCCTGTTCACTCACGGACAGCAGAGGCGCGGGAATGTCTGTACTTGCGAGGCACCTTTTATGTACACTCGAGGGTATGTAAAGTGGGGTATACTTGTATACATATATGTAAATATGTTAAAAAATATCAAAATACACGTAGAACAAAATATATCAATATACATAAGTGTATACGTATGTAATATATATATACAGGGAGTGCAAAATTATTAGGCAAATGAGTATTTTGACCACATCATCCTCTTTATGCATGTTGTCTTACTCCAAGCTGTATAGGCTCGAAAGCCTACTACCAATTAAGCATATTAGGTGATGTGCATCTCTGTAATGAGAAGGGGTGTGGTCTAATGACATCAACACCCTATATCAGGTGTGCATAATTATTAGGCAACTTCCTTTCCTTTGGCAAAATGGGTCAAAAGAAGGACTTGACAGGCTCAGAAAAGTCAAAAATAGTGAGATATCTTGCAGAGGGATGCAGCACTCTTAAAATTGCAAAGCTTCTGAAGCGTGATCATCGAACAATCAAGCGTTTCATTCAAAATAGTCAACAGGGTCGCAAGAAGCGTGTGGAAAAACCAAGGCGCAAAATAACTGCCCATGAACTGAGAAAAGTCAAGCGTGCAGCTGCCACGATGCCACTTGCCACCAGTTTGGCCATATTTCAGAGCTGCAACATCACTGGAGTGCCCAAAAGCACAAGGTGTGCAATACTCAGAGACATGGCCAAGGTAAGAAAGGCTGAAAGACGACCACCACTGAACAAGACACACAAGCTGAAACATCAAGACTGGGCCAAGAAATATCTCAAGACTGATTTTTCTAAGGTTTTATGGACTGATGAAATGAGAGTGAGTCTTGATGGGCCAGATGGATGGGCCCGTGGCTGGATTGGTAAAGGGCAGAGAGCTCCAGTCCGACTCAGACGCCAGCAAGGTGGAGGTGGAGTACTGGTTTGGGCTGGTATCATCAAAGATGAGCTTGTGGGGCCTTTTCGGGTTGAGGATGGAGTCAAGCTCAACTCCCAGTCCTACTGCCAGTTCCTGGAAGACACCTTCTTCAAGCAGTGGTACAGGAAGAAGTCTGCATCCTTCAAGAAAAACATGATTTTCATGCAGGACAATGCTCCATCACACGCGTCCAAGTACTCCACAGCGTGGCTGGCAAGAAAGGGTATAAAAGAAGAAAATCTAATGACATGGCCTCCTTGTTCACCTGATCTGAACCCCATTGAGAACCTGTGGTCCATCATCAAATGTGAGATTTACAAGGAGGGAAAACAGTACACCTCTCTGAACAGTGTCTGGGAGGCTGTGGTTGCTGCTGCACGCAATGTTGATGGTGAACAGATCAAAACACTGACAGAATCCATGGATGGCAGGCTTTTGAGTGTCCTTGCAAAGAAAGGTGGCTATATTGGTCACTGATTTGTTTTTGTTTTGTTTTGAATGTCAGAAATGTATATTTGTGAATGTTGAGATGTTATATTGGTTTCACTGGTAATAATAAATAATTGAAATGGGTATATATTTGTTTTTTGTTAAGTTGCCTAATAATTATGCACAGTAATAGTCACCTGCACACACAGATATCCCCTAACATAGCTAAAACTAAAAACAAACTAAAAACTACTTCCAAAAATAT